CTCATTTCTCAGGACCCCAAAAATTTCGTCCAGACTCCTTAGAGCACGAAATTTCTCTCTTTTTCTCTCTCCCCCTCTCTTTTGTATTTCTTGAGATTTTTGTGAGGCATTGTAGTGTGAAAGGTTGCCACAAAGCACCTAAAATCTTCCTGTTTTGAGGATTCAATAGAGCTCATTCAAGAGATATTTCAGTTAATCTCTTTCTCCTTTTTATTTATTTCTTCTATATAATAAATATTGTTATAATAAAAATAATCATGTGGACATTTTAGGATTAATTGTATAATTTAAATTTCAAGAATGTAAATAATTATTAATAAAAAGGGGATTTAATATTTTTATTATTATCATTTATAATGCTAACTTCATCATAGGGTACCAATTAAGGGCGCTGTAGGGGTGTTTAATACCTTCCTGCGAACCCTACACGTAACCGACCCTCGAACCCAATTCTGGTTATTAAGGCCATATTAGAGAGATAGTATGGATGCATAGAGTGCCTTCTGATATTATCCTAGATAAAGATCCAAGGTCCACTTCCAAGTTTTGTCAAAGTTTGCACTAAGCCCAGAGAACATGGTTCCCAATTCTGGTTATTAAGGCCATTATTAGATTTTTAAAAACCTTTTCTTTTTTCAATGTTTTGAGTAAAACATTGGTGGCGACTCTATGAACTCATTTTTTCAAAATCATTAATTAAGGATTAGTCTGGTGTCCGGGCATTCCTTAATTGATGAGACTTTTAAAAGAACGTCTAAACCATTAGTTGCAAGATTAGAAATTTTCGTTGCGACATGACCAAGTGTGTTTTTTTTCTTCCTATCAACATTAAATGGTCTTTGGAGAAGCTTATCTAATTGTATATTAGAGAGATAGTATGGTTGCATAGAGTGCCTTCTGATATTATCGTAGATAAAGATCCAAGGTCCACTTCCAAGTTTTGCCAAAGTTTGCACTAAGCCCAGAGAACATGGTTGAGGGTGAGTTTCGTTTATACCCACAGACGGATGGTTAGTCAAAGAAGACTATTCAGTCACTAGATTTATTGAGGGTTTGTGTTCTAGATCATTTTGGTAGTTGAGAGAATGCATTACCTTTGGTTGAGTTTACTTAAAACAACTTTCATGATAGTATTAACATGACACTTTTTGAGGCTTTGTATGAAAGAAGGTGTAGGACTCCTCTATGTTGCTATAAGGAGGTTAAGTTAGTTGTGGTGAGATCATAATTAATTCTACAAACTACAAAAAAATGTGAAGATGATTTACGAAAGGATGAAGATTGTTTAGAGTGAGCAGAAATTTTATGTTGATGGGAGGAGAAACCCTTTGGAGTTTGAGGAAGGAGAACATGTGTTTCTTAGAGTGACACCCACTAATGGGGTGGGAAAGGAGATAAAGTCCAGGAAACCGACACCAAAGTTTATTGGGCCTTATTAAATCCTTCATTATATAGGTCCGGTGGCATGTTAGTTGGCCTTATTAAAGTTTATCTAGCCTACATGATGTGTTTCATATCTCCCAATTGAGGAAGTATATTCATGACCTAAGTCATGTGGCAGAGCCTATTGTGTAAATCAAGGAGAATCTTACCTATAAGAAGGGACTAGTTGTAGTTATGGATCATAAGGTGAAGGAGTTGAGAGGCAATTCCATTAGTCTTGTTAAGGTTGTTTGGGATGTGGCATTGATGAGGCTACATGAGAGCTAGAAGACAAGATCAAAGATCGATATCCATTCCTAAGTAAGTCAATTTTTTGGGACAAAAATTTTTGTTGTTGGGAAGAATTGTAACACTGTGTGATTTTGCACCTAATTGATTTATTATATGATTTATAATGATTGATTTTTGAATTGATTGATGTCATTTAGAACTCTAAGGGTCAAGGGATCCTTGAGAGTTAAGTTGTTGGTGAGGTAGTTTTAATTAGGGTTAGGTTAGCCTAGTTTAAGGAAGGGTATATAAAGTTTTTCTTAGATGTCAATTTCATAAGTTCATATCTTAAGAAAACTAAAGAGAAGTTAGAGAGATAAACACTGAGCCCAAGAGAGATTCTTCCCTTTCTAACTCCATAGAACTTCCCTAAACCCCTCCTTGAGTTAAGTAATTGATATAAATAGGAGATTTTAAGCTTCGAAAGTTGAGAATTCCAAGTTGAGAAAGTTGTACAACAACCTTAAAAGACTTTGGTTTTCTTCCTCTTCCTTTGATTTCTAAGCAACTAGAGGTAAGGGAAGTTTGTTGATCAATTTTTTATTATTATTTTTTATTTTTATGTTTAGTTGTTTAATTCTACCTGAAATTGTACATTGGATGACCATTTTGATTGAATTATGAAAAAGTGATTGATTGCCTTGAGTTTTGCCTTCTTGAAGTTGTTTTTAAGAGAAATGGGTGATTTGAATGTTTAATGGTTGCATGTGGTATCTTGTATTAGTTTTCAGTTGTTTATGACGAATACACATTAAATTTTGTGTTACATATTGGTTTGACTAATTAGTTTGTAGGTTTGAGTCAATTTGAAGATTCTACCAAGTGTAAAAATCTTCATCATGTTGGAGGTGGCTCAAATTATGAACTCTTTACTCTAATCACATTGAACATGAAATTGATAGTATTGGACATGAATTAATGAATTTTTTGATTTTTTAATTAAAAATTAATATTATAATATATTTTTTAAAACTTATTTGAATGATATAAATTGAGCGTTATAAAATTAATGTTATATTTTAAACATTATAAAATTATTTTTTAATATAATTTTATATATCAATACTAGTATAAATAGGATCCATTGTATATTTTTACTCATCAACTTCCTAATTTTCTTCTTCTCTTTCATTCTTTATCTCTTAACTTTTTTTTCTTTAGCCAATTTTATCTACTATTGATTGTTTGTTTGATTTATCTTCACTTAATGGAATCAAAACAAAACCAACTCAATTCATATCTTAATTTCATGTCAAATTTTCAACCTTCCATTAATCCAAATTCTCAAAGAGTAATCAACTCGTAAACAATGGAGATCAAGGTTCAACATGGAAGAAAATAAACTTCTCATCCAATCATAGTTAAATATTTTGAAGGATCCAAATGTGGGGATAAACCAAAAAGAACCTTCCTTTTGGTCAAGGGTTAAAGAAAATCACAAGGTAAATATCTATATCCAAAATATGTGAACTTGAGTGAGAATTTTAATTAAAATAAGTGTAGTTAATCTAATAATATTATCTGTATTTAAAATATGTTTTTGTTAATGTAATTTTTTTACATTATTAAGGTAATGTTATTTATGTTCAAAACTTTTCATTATTAATGCAATATTTTTGTCAATATTTAAAATTTTCATTATTAAAGTAGTCATTTCTTAACAATAATGCATCAACAATCGACATACATAATGATCCTTATCCAAACCTTGCTCCATATCTGAAAAGAAGAATATACTTCTTTATGATAGATAATGTCATCATTAACTTCAAGTTGAGTTTGTTGAGAATATTTTGAAACATTTTGGCATAATAGTTCGTAAAATTAGTTATTATTTTAATTATATATTATTTTTAACTTTGTAATTTTTATATTTTTGTAATTGCATAATTTAGTTGCTTTATCATTTTAAATAAAATTTGATTTAGTTAAGTATTTTTCTATTTTGTATCATGAAAAAATATTTCACAAAATAGTAGAATAAAAAAATCTCTTAATTTATAACTATAAAAAAAATCAATTTAATAAATAAATTATTAATGACATGTAAAAATGTAAGATTTTTTGTGAGATCTATTTAAGAATTGAAAGAGACATGTTGGATTGGAGAGGAAAATATTTATAAAGATGCTTAAATTGAAAAGAGTAAAAAAGGATGCTATGTATATATGAGTCTCACTTCAAAATCTAAAAGAGATATCTCCATTGGAAATGGCATAAGTCTTACACAAGGTACAAGTTAGAATGTAACTTTCTCAAGTTAAATAATTTTTTTTACAACAATAAAAATTTTATATTACATTTATTCGCTAATTTTATGCAATAATTTTTTTATTCTCAAATAATATATTTAGGTTCTGAATATATTTTATTCATTCAAATTTAACATAAATTTGATTTAGGTCCTTCAAACTAATTTAATATTAATCTTTCTAATATCTTTATAATTTCAAAATTAATATAAACGGTATTTAATATAATATTTTTCTCAATAATTAAAAATATTACTAGATAGCTTTTTTTGTGTAACAAATTTAATAATAAATAAAATTTATCAGACATTTTCATTAAACATTTGAGAAAAATGATTAAAATAAAGTTTTTTTTAATTATAGAAATTAAAAAATTATTGTTAAGTTTGAGAGAGAAAAATATATATATTTACTTTATATTTAAAGAATTAAAAATATATTTAAATATTAATAAAATATTTATAATTAATAAAATATATTTTAATTATTTCTAAAAATTATAATTACTTATGTGAATATATAAATTTTCCATGTACTAAAATTTTTTTGTTGGCCTAGAAACGTGATTCCTTGATACTTTTTGTTGATTAGTCGAAAAATGTACTATGTACTAAAATATCATATTTTGAGTTTTCGGTGACATGAGCACCGATTATATTTTCTAGCTATCTGTCCTTGTTATATAATTGCATCATGCCATCATTTCTCAAAATGGGGGGCACATGGAGGGCTATGGTCCCTCCATTTTTTTTAAATGTGGATTTTTTTTTGCTTTATCTAAAATTTATATAAAAGATTAATAGATAAAAGTTATTGTGTTAATTTATATTTATAAGAAAAGAAATATATATATATATATAATATAATAAATATATTAAAAAATATAAATAATAAATAAATAAATACTTTATGATATTAAAATATTTGTTAAAAAAATTATCCCTTTTAACATAATGTCATGACTCTGTCCTGACAGACATACATAATGTTTTTTTGTTTCTCTTGTATATATATAAATGTGGACAAGAAGAAGAAGGTGCTATATACCACAACACATGCAAATGTCTGCAACCAAGACTCTGATGGTCACAGAAGCTTCCATGCTTTGCAACAAATCTATCCCTTTGAATTTCCACCTTCTTAGTCTCAGCCATGCACGTAGATTTGGACTAGTGTGCTCATCGAGTAAGAATGGTGAGATGAAACTCATTAGAGTTAGGAAAAAAGGGAAGAGAATTTCACCAACCATGGTAGCTCTCAATGAGGGTGAGGTTGTGCCTGAGAAGTCCTCTACCTTGAAGCTTTCGGCTTTGGTCACTGTGAGAAATGGTAATGATGATAATAATAATATGGTGAGTAATCTTCTCACCATTTTCGGGCCTCCTAAGCAGACCCAAGGTGTTGTTCTTCAACTTGTTAGCACAGAGTTTGATCCAAGTACGTTTCTCTGTAGCTCCTTCTTTTTATTTTTGTCTGTTAATGTGAGAATTTTCATTGCAAAGTACAAGTGGAGTGTTGCTTGAGTTAAGGAGACTATGTTTGATCTAATTATTTTTTAATTTTAAAATTATCTTTAAAGCTAAAGTTTATAAGAGTTTTTTTTTTAAATAAATTATTGTTTAACAGATTTTATTTCTTTTAATCTAAAAAATAAATGATTCGAGATACATGAAGAGGACAAAAAGTGAGGAGAGGGTACGGAATGGAGAAAGAGAAAAGACAGCCTAAAAATAGGAGTGAAAAAGAAGATCACGGGTTTGAGAAAGAGAGAAGGGAAAGCATGAAAAACGAATGAAGTAAAAAATTTCATCATTTATCTTTTTTAATAAAAGTTATTTTTTTCTTCTTTCTTTATATAATTGTTTGCCAATAAGTAGGGAGAGATATACACAATTAGGAATGGCAATGGCCCGGAGCGGGTATGGGTTTCATGATACTTGTTTTTGTTCCTGCAAGTCAAATTTATTCCCGTTCCCGTATTCATACATGTCGGGTATGTAATTTTCATTCTCATCTCCGTCCCCGTCGGGTACGGGTACGTACTCATATCCGTCAATTTTTTTTATAAATATAATATTTTAAAATTATTTTTATTATATTAAAATTATAATTAAGTTATTTCTCTATCTCATATTATAACAAATAATTACACATAAAAAATATTAAAATTCTTTAATATAATTAAATTAAAAGTGGGTATTAAATTAAAAATGAGAACGGGGATGGGTACGGGTACGGGTGCGGGGCGGGGAAGTACATACCCGTACCCTTACCCGATTTAATATATCGAGTTTTACCCATACCCATATTCGTACCCGGTCAAACAGGATATTCCCCGTCAAAGTCAGGACAGGTGGGTATGGATATATTTATCATCCCTATACACAATGGCTTAGGGCTTGTCCCCTTAATTTTTTTTAGAATTTTAAAATTTTTAATATATATAATATTATTTAGATATAGTTTTATTATTATTTTGAGATTAGATAACATTTAAGTGTTCTTTTATTTTATAAAATATTTCATTTTATTTTTAGATGATTCAATAAATGAAGAGGCCAAAAAGTGGGGAGAGGGTACGGAATGGAGAAAGAGAAAAGAGAGCCTCAAAATAAGAGTGAAAAAGAAGATCAAGGGTTTGAGAAAGAGGAAAGGGAAAGTATGAAAAACGAAGTCAACAAATTTCATTTTATTTTTGCAGTTTTTATGGTGAAAATAATTGTATTTTTTTCTTTTAAAACACAAAAAATTTTAATATATTTTATTTTTAATAGTGTTTTCTTTTTATCATTCATTAGTACTATTTAAAGGCTATAAATATTTACATTTAGAAGATTTTATTATCTTTTCTTTCATGTTAATTTAATTATGAATAATTTGAGAATTAAAACTTATTTATTAACTGTTGCTAAAAAATGAGATGAACTCAATTACAAATATCTAAGAAATTAACAATTTTAGATAAATAATATGTTTAGTAAAATTAACTTATAAGCTAATTGAAAATTTATAATTTATATATATTTTTTACAATATTCATTTATAAGTTATAAGTCAGGAGTTAAAATTTTAAAAATTTATAAGTAAATTGATTGAATTAAAGTGTTTGATAAAATTAAATGATAAACTAGTTGATTAATATAAAATGATATATATTTATTTTATCTAACAATGAAAGTGAGAGAATATATAACATGTAGACAAAATCATTTCTAATTTAAAAAAGGTAAAAAAAAAAAAAAAAAAAGAGAGAGAGGGGGATTTTAAGAAATATACAAAGATAAAAAAGGAAATAGAAGAAAAAACTAAGAAATTATTAACTTATAAGTTATAAATGACTTCAATTAGCTTATAAATAAGTTATAAACTCCTAAAATAAAAATTATGTGTCAAACAAACTTATTTTAATCAAATTAACTTAAAAATTATTTAAAACAACTTATAAATCCTCAAATCTCCTACAAAACAAACTTATTAAACTGACAAATATTTTTTCTTTTTCTAAGCATTCCTTTTAATATTCTATTTATATTTCCCCTTCTGTTTTTTTTTATAAATTATTTGTTGGTCCCAACGTATTTTGATTTCAAGTACACAATTTCAAACAAGTGGCTAAGTGAAATTTACAAAATTAAACTCAATATTGGGTTTATTAGATATATGTCAAACTTTACTTTTAGGATGGTAAGTATTATCATAATACAACATCCTACTCCTTATTCTAATTTTTAATAGTCTAGGACCATGTTCTTTAAAATTGAGTTTCTTATAAGATTTATTTTGGAATATTGGAGATCGATGTAGTACTTTCATGTTCAATTGCCATTAAAATAGTATAATCTTGGCTCTTAAAACAAAAAGTTTAATTTGTCAATATTTTAAATATATTATGTATTAACATTGGTTTTGATGTTTAATGTAAAAAGGGAGAATGGATGGAAAATTGAGCAAGAAAACAGTTTTAGAGTTATCCGAAGAGCATAAATTTGGAGGTGAGGGAAGAAGCATCTCCTACAAAGTCGATTTCATGGTGGATTCAGATTTTGGGGTTCCTGGTGCTGTTACCGTCGTCAACAACTATCACAACGAGTTCTTCTTGGAAACCATAACCGTTGCTCAAAATATTCATTTTGCTTGCAAATCTTGGGTTCAACCAAGTAAGCTTCACCCTCAGAATCGAACTTTCTTCGTCAACAAGGTAATTTATTAATAATATCATACAGCTTCTTCACCTAACCAACTAGTTCATCTAATCAATTTTAATTCACGTTAGCTTTGGATTTGCTCTATTCAAGTTGATTCATTATTCTATGACCATGTTGATAAATTAAATTAATTCACTAAATGTTTGGTACAGCAAAATATAAAAATAGATCGTGTTAGGTTAAGCTACCTAATTAGTTCTTGTTTTGTATCGCGTTATAAACATGTGTTAATTAGTTTTAATCATGTTAAAAGTGTCTCATATATTAAAGAATTTATAATGTAGAACAATCGAGATTATCTAAACAATGAAGTTTAAATAATAACACTATATTATCCAATCAAGAATAGAGTTCCTTAATTAACTGACATGTTCCATCTTTGTCTTGTATATGAAATCCACCTCATAAGAAGAAGAAATAAATAATTAACAATATTAATACTAAATTATAATTATTTTTTAAATCGGTAAGTATGCTTTATGAAAATCACTGACCCAAGACCAAATAAATTTAAAAGAAATAAATTTAAAATAACATAAATTTTAGATTAAAAATTTGTAAAAGATGAATCTATCAAAAAGACTAATTAAAAAAAAATAATTAAAAGATCAATTTTTATAACAAATTTTATTTATATGTAATACAATTAAAAAATTAAAAACAAAAAATATAATAACATTATAAAAATATAAAATAAGAAAGAAAAATAATAAATAATATAACTGAAAAACTAATTTATACTATAAATTCAAAAAGTTAACACCAAAGAAAAATTAAAACGTTTTAACAAAATATTAATATTAAACTATTTAATTATAATAAATACTATATTAAGATAAAATTTAAAAAATATAAAATAATATAATGATTAAAAAATTTATAAAAATAAATTATTAAAAATATTAAATAAAAATAAAAATAAACAAGTAATTACAATTAAAAAAAAATTAAAAGTGGGTATTGAAAAGATATGTCGTTTTTAACGGACTCAACTGAGTTTTAAATTGCATTCATTTATCACTTTGCACATGTACACTACGATAATACGATTGCGACATGCAATGCAATTATAACAAAAACATATGACCTAAATTTAAATTATTACCCTTTAACAAATGATTAATTAAACATCAAATTTCACAACATTAAATTATTTACATCTCCGTAATAATTCCTATTACATAATAAATAATTATACTCTTGTAATCATTTCAAGTCAAAGTACTGATATCATAGATTGCATTCTTAAAAAATAATGGCATTCTGTCCAATCCAATATTATAAAGAAAGTTAGTTGTCATGAATGATCCACGAATAAGAATCAGTCTCCTGTTTAAAGTAAAATAGGCCTAACATATATGGAAGAAATATTAGTATGAAACTAGTAAAATAAATGAGCTTCTCGTGCACTTACTAAAATATAAGATAATTTGTGAGATTCATTTAATAATAAATATTTTTAAATTATATATTATTAGGATATATAGGACAAATAGGTTGCTGATTGAGTTGAATTAAAAATTAACTTGACATTGTATGATCAATATAAATGTTATCCATTAAACATACTCTTATTGACTGTTTCACACGTCAACTAAATTGGTAAAATTAAACCGGAACTCACTCTTTTAATTATCTTTTCCCCCTTTATCATGGGTATTCCCTAACCCACTTGAGGCAGAAATTCATTCTACTGGTAATATTATTGTTGGGTATGGGGTCACATATGTAAATATTTTTATATTAGTATGATATTGTATTTATTTTAAATTTTATATTTTATATTTTTTTAGTCAATTTTTAAAAAATCTCATATTAATAGAGATTATATGTATTTTATTATAAATCTTTATTTTTTTTATGATCTAACGATATAAAATTTTGTTTATACCTCAACAAACTTTCTCACAAATAAAGGATCATGGTTTTAACCTCTTTTTCAGGAGAAATCTTTTTTTATTTACAAGTATGTAATGATGACTCTTAGAGTTTTAGTCACACTTGTCAGTTGTCATTAACTCATATCACCTATTGCCAAATACTCATCCAAGACTGAGTCGATCACTTGGTCAAAACTACCAATTTTGATATCACTGTTGGGCACCGGAGGTTCACACACACATATGTCTCTACATTTGTATAATATTGTCTACTTTGGACCTAAATCATTATGGTTTTATTTTTTGTCATCTTCCAAAAAGTCTCATACCACTAAAGAATGTGTGTACTTTATAAACCTTTATTTCTCTACATGATTTAATGACATGAGACTTTGTTTGTACCCTAACAACTATGACTATTGTTAAATTAAAGAATTGCAAACGACAGGAGTTGAATACAAGATTTTTTGCTAAATAGATTATTCTCACAATGAACGTGCATAGTGCTACACATTTGAAAAATATACCAATTATTGTAATTAGTAAATTGAACAGAAATAAGTTATTGAATCTACAAGGACTTAAATTTATACTTGTATAATATAATTTTAGTACTAAATAGATAATTTTATGAGAATTTGAAATTGTTTGATAAGAAATATTTAAATTTAATAAAAATAAAATAACACAGTAAATTATGATGAATTTGAATTTATAAGAAGAACAATTAGAGATTGATTCACTAATTTTTCTTGTGTAAAATCTCTTAATTTTTATTCAACGTTGTAACTATACAGTTAATTTGACAGCTCACAATTATATTTAAACTTTAAATCCTTATGTGAGAAATTATAGGTTGTTTAGGAAAAATTTCTATTTCTTGATTATTTTTGTTAAACAATCTTGTATTAAGATCAAGGATCAAAAGTTGACAAATAAGATTTATCCTAATTTTTTGACAATAAATGTTATCGATGTTTAATTTAGGTCGTAATTTTAAAAGGGTTTTTCAACCTTGACTAAAAATTATGAAATCATGAAGTGATTGATCAAGGCACAACAAAAATTAAGTATAAGAATAAAATGATTAACTGAATAAATATTTTATTGAAGGAAAAACATAGAGAAATTACACAGTTTAAGTAGTTATCTCAATTTTTAACAATAAAGAACTTAACACTCATAACTAAGGATTACACAACAATAAAAAGACCCTTGAGTGATTTGTGATTATTAGAGTGACCTCACACAATCTCTCTCTAATCTCTAGAATTATACTAAGAAGAATATTGATAATTAAGAGTGAAATACAGAGATCTCTTAGAGACCCTATTTTTATAACAATTCTGATGAGTTTTTAGGTTTGATACGGTCACTTACAGCACCCATATAACTCGCTCTAAGCAAGCATGTGCATGCTTCCAAAGATACTCTCTAATTTGGTTCACTTAGAAAGTCCAAATAGCTCGCTTTGAGTGAATTAGTATAATCTTTCAGGATTATTCTCCGACTTGACTTGCTTAGAACGAGCTATTAGTCGATCTTAGTGAATTTCACTAGCTTGGAATGAGTCTTCTATGTAGCTTGGAGTGATGATTCCCTTTTAATACTTGTAGCTTTCAAATTATTTTCTCCTTGTATTATATCTCAATAAAGAAAAATATTAAAAATATTTAGTATTAAATAATTAATTCCTAAACCAAAATAAACTCTAGACTAAATTTTTTGTAACCAAAAACAAGATTTAATTAGAAGTATAAGATACATTATTAATTATTAATTGTCTAAATTGAATAAAACTTGTATGCATATTTGATAATTATTACATAATATACTTAACTTCTATGCCAACTTATTGAATTTAAATGTGATATAGTTATTGATAATACTTTTATATTAATTCACATATATTTATCAATAGAAAACAATTATAAAAATAGCAGTAAAATTAAAATTTAGAATCTTATATATTATTACCCCCAACTCTTCACTAGAATGTTGGGCAAGAAGTTTTGAGAATAAAGTGATAAACATGGTGCAAATGTACACAACAGGCTTATCTACCTAGTGAAACACCAAGTGGAGTGAAGGAGCTAAGAGAAAGGGAACTGATGCAGCTAAGAGGTGATGGTAGTGGAAGAAGGTTATCTTGGGAAAGGGTTTATGACTATGATGTGTACAATGATTTGGGTGATCCACACATGGGAGAAGAACATGCAAGGCCAACACTTGGTGGCCAATGCAACCCTTATCCCACACGTTGCCGCACCGGACGCCCACCTACTACCACCGGTCAGTTTCACTTATCACTTTTTTTTTTTTTTTTCTTTTATCACTTTTAATTAGAATTACAGTTTTATCTTATAATGTATACTTATATTTAATATGTATTTATGTATATTACGAAAATAAAATTTTAATTTTAATTAAAAAAACAACACTTATAACTAAAAACTTGTACTTAAATTTTATTCGTTTACTTTACGTTTGCTTGCCGAGTTGTTCTCACTAGAAAAAATAATCCCAAATTAAAGTACCATCATCGTTTGAATATGTATTTTATATACTATCACTATAATTTTTTACCCTTTATGTATTGCACTGATTGGTAATATTTATTCATATATAATTATTATCATGGAAGTAGTTCATTAATTTTTGTGTATATTGTTTGTTGGCCACTTTTACCCTCAATTTGTATTAAAAGATACCACACAACTAACTATTTGATCACTTTCACTTTTTTTATTTACCTCCTCCCTTTTTTTAATATTTTTATTTATATATATAGAGTTATGTCCTAAAAAAGACAATATCTAATTTTGTTAGCACATTCTTAGACCATCTAGTCATTTGATTTATTTTGCATATTTGTAACTTTTTAAATATCTTTAATAATAATATTATTATTTTTAATTAGTTCCCACGTATTAGTTACTTTTTTAAATATCCTAACATTATTTTTTAATCCGTTTCTCCCTTATGATATTATTAATACTAAAGAAAAAAGATGTACGTATGTGTCTCTATATATTATATTATTTAAAAACTATTGTTTTAAGAGAGTTAAAAAAAATTGCCTGCAATTTAAAAAGCTAACATTGAGTGAATTGTAAGAGAAAAATGAACACCAAAATATATATATATATATATATATATATATACTTATTATTAGCATAGATATAAATTAGTTTACAAATTTTAAAATATAAAATAATTCTTCATATTTAGAAAGTAAATTAAAATTTAAAATAATATTCACATCGACATATAATAATAATTTATAAACAAAATATCAAGTTTTACATCTCACCAAAGAAAAAAAAAAAAGATAATGTATGCTTTTCCACTAATTTATATATAAAAAAAATAATAGAATCCTTATATATGTTGATCGATGCTAAACTAACGATCCGAAGTTAGTATTTTCTTTACACATCAAATTTATCGTAATACTTTCAATTCATGCTACAAAATTTTCACCTTCTTAAATGTAAGATTTACATATAAGATTATATGATTATTTGATTTTGTTAGTGATTTTTTTTTTTTTTGTTTTTGAATAAATTTCTCTGTGAAATGTAAATCCATGTAAAAATAAGAAAATAGGGAGAGAAAAAAATCAAAATTTATCTATAAATACATATTAAGTGTTGGATTGCAGAGTTTTACACTAAAGATCACTCGATTTATGAATATTGAGTAAATTATATAAGTTAAGTAAATACTACATCATAATTCAAAACCTTAATATATTAAGTATGTAAGTCTTTCTTACTTATATACTATTTAATATATCCAACTTTAACTAATGTAAAACTTACTTCACACTTGAATTTTAAATTAAAATTTAACCAACCAAATCTAGAATCTATTTGACTAATAACTTAAAAGAGTTTTGAAAAGCTTTTTTGTTTGGTTAAAAATAAAAAGTATTTTGAATTTCTTAAGAATACTTCTAAGTTTATTTTCAAACAGACTTGTAAATTTAAAATAAGTAGTGTTGAATTTACCAAAAGAGAAAAATAAGCAAAGGCACATAGCATGGACAAAAGTACCAAGCGAGGGAGTTGATAGTTACATGCATGCTTCTCTTTACGTTGTTTTCATCTTCACATGCAAACATGGACAGATACGAAAGCAGAGTCACGACCGAGAGAATCAGAGTTAATATACGTTCCTAGAGATGAAGAATTGGGGGACATAAAGAAAGAAACTATAGATCAAGGAAAATTGATGGCTATCCTTCGGAATATTATGCCTGCGTTTACAGATAAAATCTTGGGCAACGAGGGAGTTTTCAACATTGATCACTTTATTAAAGACTCAGGCCAATCTGAACCCTTGTCATGGAATCTGTTCAAATTTGGAGGTGCCATTCAAGAATTTTTTAAATTCGACCCTCCAAAAGTATTTTCAAGTAAGTTAAATTAAAGTCTCTCATTGCTTATTATCAAATGAATTTTCTACAACTCGAGTGAAGTGGAATGATTTTCAGGGGAAAAATCACATTTCATACAAGATGATGAACTTGGACGTCAAGTTCTTGCTGCGTTCCCTCTAAGTATTGAAAGGCTAAAGGTAATTATAATAATGACCCCATATTAGGGATAAACTTTTCCCATTTTTAACATGTCTTCTAATTAAAGTGCATAACTTAATTTATTACATTTTTCATTTTCTCTTTAATGGAAAAGTTAATTTAAATAGGGTCATAGTTAAAACCAGCTTTATGTTCTTTCATTAATTTTGTCACTTTGCCTATAGGTTTTCCCACCCGAGAGCAAATTGGATCCCTCAAAATATGGTTCAGTAGAATCAGCATTGAAAGAAGAACACATCATAGACCACCTTGAAGGAATGTCAATACAACAGGTACAGAAAATTGGTCCTCTTTCCTAAAGATAAGTTCCATGGAAATGTTTAATAATGTTGTTATCTGCTTTTAAAATATAGGTGTTGGAAAATAACAAGTTGTTTGTACTGGACTATCACGATGTTTACCTTCCATTCCTGCATGGGATTAATGCACTTGAGGAGCGCAAAGCTTATGCAACCACCACAATTTTCTTCCTCACCAAAATGGGAACACTGAAGCCCATTGCCATCCAGCTTGCACTCCCAACGGAGAATCCAAACACTTCATCAAAGCAAATTCTCACCCCTCCCAAAGATGCCACCTCCAAATGGCTCTGGCAACTTGCCAAAGCACATGTTTGCTCTAATGATGCTGGTGTTCATACACTTGTACACCATTGGTAAGATATGTATTTTATTTGGATAATACTTGGATGCAATGCAATTTATTATTAGGCGTTTTCTACATTATTTAAACTCGATGTTAAATATTGAGTTGAACTAACAAGTTGGTAGTTTGAGTGAACTGAAGTCGATTTGTTAAGTAAAGTCTTAGATATGATACATCTATTCTATAAAATAAGTGATAGAAATGAACGTGATGACATTGTTATCTTATAATTGAACAGGTTAAGAATACATGCTTGCATGGAACCATTAATAATTGCAGCTCATCGTCAACTGAGTGTGATGCATCCTATATTCAAGCTTTTGCATCCCCATATGCGATACACACTCAAGACAAATGCAATATCGCGTCAGACACTCATCAATGCTGAAGGTACCATTGAGATAGACCACACTCTAGGGAGATACTGCATGCAATTTAGCTCTGCTGTCTATAAAGATTGGTGGCGGTTTGACATGGAAGGTTTTCCTGCTGACCTCCTTATAAAGGTAACAAGATTCATTTCGCTAATAAAACTTCACATTATTCTTTGATTTAGAGAGCATTTCTATCTTGCTGTGTAATTCTGTTATATATTGATGAAAAGAAGTAGTTCATAAATTTGTTTCAATACATTGCATATAAATTAGATTGTGCAATAATGGACCTACTTTTACAACCTTTATGTATGCTAGACATTGACGATGAGATCTAATAATTTTTTTCTTATATAGGGGTTTAGCGGTTCCAGATACAACCCAACCACATGGCATTAGACTACTTATTGAAGACTACCCTTATGCAGCCGATGGACTTCTCATATGGTTCAGCATAGAGAAGTTGGTCCAAACATATGTGAACCATTACTATAGAAACTCCATTGCCATTTCTTCTGACAATGAACTCCAATCTTGGTACAGAGAATTCATCAATCTTGGACACCCTGATCATAAAAATGCTAGTTGGTGGCCTGAACTTGCCAACCCTGAGGATCTCATCTCCATTCTCACCACTGTTATTTGGAATGTTTCAGCACAGCATGCTGTCTTGAACTTTGGTCAATACCCTTATGGAGGGTATGTTCCAATTCGTCCACCACTAATGAGAAAACTAATTCCCAAGGAGGAGGATCCTGAGTACACAGATTTTGTCAAGGATCCACAGAGATATTTCTTGTCATCACTGCCAAGTTTATTTCAGGCATCAAAGTTCATGGCTGTGACCAACATTGGCTCTGCACACTCACCTGATGAGGAATATATAGGAGACATAAAGGATTTGTCTTCTTGGGTGGGGGAGCCTGAGATCATTGATGCATTCAATCAATTTTCAATGGACATGAAAAGTATTGAGATGGAGATTGGGAGAAGAAATGCTGATCCAAAACTTAGAAACAGATGTGGCGTTGACGTTTTACCATATGAACTTCTTATACCAAGCTCAGGCATTGGGGCAACAGGACGAGGGGTGCCAAATAGTGTTACAGCATAATAGTTCAATATGTGGACAAACCAACAACTGAATCAAATCAATTGTCTGTTATTCTTCACCTTAGCTGGATTAAAATGGATTCCACATTCAGTCCCTGGAAAACACAATAAAAAAGAAAATACAAAAAGGAATAATGCAACCTATGCAGGCTTGAAATCATTTGCATGTGTGTAATGAGTAGCATTAAGATTTGAAAGTTAAGCCATTCCTTTCTAGTTAACTATAATGTGTACAAACTTGATACATTGGACCAGAGTAAACTGTAAAAATAAAACTCAAAATGTGTATTAAAAAGCAATATTCTTAATTAGGAATATGGTTGTTGTGTTCAGGAGGATATATGATTGTTGTGTTCAGGAGAATATGTAGGACTATTTTCGTATTCAGCAACTATCACGGTGATCAAAAGCATCAAGAGCAACCTAACAAACTTATTCATCATAACTAAAACCAATTTGTTTTCTTTATTTTTTTAAGTAACTTCATGCTTAAAATGCAACTAAAAAAATTTGCCTAGTGCTATATACTCTACTTTGCTAGATTAGAGAAGTAAATTAACAAGTATTATCATGAGTTTCACATTGGGCAGAATAAGAAGCCCAATATGATAATTAATTCACAAGGCTCCCATCTAATGAGGTAGTCTTTTAGATTGGACACCTCCCGTATGTTTAATTTAACAATTATACTCTACATATTCTCCATTATTGGAGTATATATAACCATGTTCAACCAAAAGAGACTAACACGGGGCACTTCCGCACAAGTAACAATACCAAACTTTGGACAAACTGAAATGTTAATAATCTAGGGAGAAAGGGACGAGCAACAAACATGCGTTCTCATAAAACTTAATCTGAAAACCAATAGAGGAATAATGACACTTCCGCAACATTATTTATCTCGGCCTCAAAAAATACATCAAAACATCTATAACGATTACATTTTGCGAAAGGCGCATTTTGCTCCAGAAAATCTTAAATAAAAGCCAAACCAAAGGTAGGCCAAAACATGTATTCCGACAATCACAAATAAATAAAGCCAGAACAAAACCTGAAAACCATATAGCCCTGTTGAAAGCATACAACATTACAGTGATGTTTTTACCTCCATTTGCATAAAATGTCAGCATTAGCCTTAATACTTGGCGGCAGTATATGGGAATTCAGTATCCAGAAACAACTCAAGCTTGATTCTCATGTAAGAGATATATCTGGTTGCAGTTCAATAAGAACAAAGATCCTTATGAAAGATCCAGATGAAACATTGTGAGCACCAAACCCATAGCTTTTTCGCATGATTCTTCTGTATCGTTGCATCTTTTATAATTTCAACTTTGCTCCTGCATGGTGTGTTTTTTCTTAGATAGTCACATCTTGCTTAACTTTAGCTTTTCTCCTACTGGTCCCAGTAGTTTCTTAGCTGAGACATATGCAAGAGAAGCTCATCTCTGCCAAGTCCAGTGACACTACTGGTCATAATCCATGGGGGATGTTGCTTGTAGTGTTGTCTGATTAACTCCTGAAAATCCCTTATGTTCTCATCAGGCCGTTTCCCCTTTGCCACCTTCATTTTGTCGCATTTTGTGAAAACAAAAGTGATTGGTATCTGCAATTCACACAAGTTTCAATGGAATTTAGACTTGTTTCAGTACCTTGACAACACTACTTTAGGGACTGAATATAAAACAAATCATCATACATTATTGCGTCCAAGCCAATTTGCACAATCCAAATCAATCTTTTGAGGTGGAACACTTGCATCGATGAGAAGCAAGACAGCCACCAGAGTACTTCTGTTCAAAAAGTACCCTTTTGTGAAGGAAGACCAATCTGTCTTAGAAGCTTCAGGTGCTTTCGCGAAGCTGCATAAAAAAATAGTGTTTCATGTGATTAGTTAACAGTCTAAATCCACTCCAATACAGGGGGAGTTGGAAATACAAGGAAGAAAATCAATTAAGAAAACATAGATAAAGCCTGAAAATTGGGAAATACAGGTAAACATATTAACATACAACATTGTTGCTAAGCATTTTAAAAGAATATTAATTGTTTATATTATTAAAAACCTCAAGAAACCTGAAAAGCAAGGAGGATCCCTATGTCCTGCATCAATCAGTATTATCAAGCAAATATCAAATTAGAAGACCTCTCCCAACACGGATACAAGTGTACAGTTTCAAGATTTAATAAAAACTACATTTCCTTATAGTTTGTATTCCCAATGCCATTGAGACATTAATGCAACGCTAGGATTTGCAACCGAGACATTGAAACACTAGCGAGTTATGTTTTAACGTTTCAATTCTAAAAAGAAAGGGAATTAGCGAGTAACTGACTGACCCATAACCAGGCAAGTCAACAAGGTACCAACTTTTGTTGACCAAGAAGTGATTGATGAGCTGGGTCTTCCCTGGCTTCTTAGAAGTGAGAGCAATCTCCTTCTTGCGAACGAGGGAATTGATGAGGGAGGACTTGCCGACGTTGGAGCGACCGAGAACGGCGAATTCGGGTCGGTCATCCCTGGGGCAGTCCTTGGCGCGGGCGCTGCTCTTCACGAACTGGACCTCCTTGATCCGGGAATCGCCGGCGTAGGGTCCGACGGCGATGTTGGAGCAGGGGAGGAGCATGGAGTCGTTAACCTCGTGGGGTTCGACGCCCGGAGGGATGAAGAGCTGCGTCTTGGAGGCGGCGGCGGAATGGGAAAGTGAGTGTCGGAAAGAGAGGAGAAAGGGTGTTTTGGGAACGGAGAGGGACGAAGAGAAAGTGAGTGTGTGAGTGAGAGTGAGGGAAGATGAGAGTGAGAGCTTCAACACTCCGCTTCTCATTCTTCTTAGCTTTGGATTTGGATTGGGGAGTAGGGTTCGTTCGTGAGTTGTTTTGGTGGCTCTACTTTTTCTATATGCATAATCCGGGGATTTGCTTTTGTAGTAAGGGTGCAAATAAATTGACCAGGGTCTATTTGGAAAATTTTAAATTAAAATAAGATTGAGAAATGTTGTGCAAAGTGTGATCAACAATGGTGTATTTATAGCATTTTACATTATCAAATTTTGTGATATTTCAATTTTAAAAAATATGAATTTGACTACAGCAGAACCAGCGTAAAAGGAAAAAAAAAAAAATCAATTTGATACTTGCAAAGAGTTAATTTTTTATGTGTAAAGGATAAAATTTGATAACATTAGCTATATCAAAAATAAATTTTGAAAAAAATGCATGATTTCACTTCTCCTCAATAAAGCTCACCTAAATTAGCTTTCAAGATAAACTTTTTATTTAATTATATTTAGTTTTGAAGACTTTAGACACTATAGTGTCTTGATCAAAAGATAAATTTTAAATTTGTTTCACTGACATGGCTAAATTAAAGCCATAAAGGTGTCAAAAATCATGTTTCAAATTTCTTTCTAGACAGTTAATCTCCCTAACTTGACCAATTAATAAATCTGCGTGATCCTCTGTTGTTACCTCACCAAAAAGAATTGATCATGTGTTGAATTTCATCACTAAAAGAAATGAGCAACAGGAATGTACTCATAATATGTCAAGATCGCTTGAGCCACAACTTTGACAAGAACTTCATTTCTAACTCGTGAAAGATGCTTACCAAATTCTATCTTGCAAGTAATTAAACCTTGTTTTCTTCTTTCTACCAATCATAGATGGCAAGACTAAGTACTTTTCCCTATTCCTAGACATTCAGAGACTCCTAAAATAGAAGTTATGGTGTTCTTGATCTCGTTATTTGTGTTCATGCTAAAAAATATTTATTTATCAAATTTATTAATTGTCCTAAGGCCTTTTCATAAGTAGCCATGATGTCTCTCATGACTAAACTTTCCTTCTCTGCCTTGAAAAGAATAAAACAATCAACAACAAAAAGGTGTATGAGGGTGAGGCCCCTTCCTCCTCCTCATTCACATTTGCACAACGCCACTTCTCCTTTTCTTCCCTTGATCTTGCACTTCGTATGATGGATAGTCTCAAAAACTATGATAGCATTATCATCAGTAGATTTTGTTGGATACTCTCAAAAACTATCATAGCATTATTATCAATAGATTTTGTTTTCCACAAACGTTGACTACTCCAGACCTACAACTCAAGGGCATGCAAATATAAAAATATTTAAATACATATAAAAAATTTATAATTATTTTATAATTTTTAAATAGTTTCTTACTAATATATATGTATATATATAACATATATTTATATGAAACAAAAATATTAAAATATATTAAAAAATTGTAGATTGTAATCTTATCATCCGTGCAGCAGGAGGGTTATTACACTAGTTTTACTATATACAGTAAAAAATGAACAAAAATGGACAATTGCAGATAGTAAAAAGAATGACGGCGTCTATGTGAAAACAATACAACACTTGTCATGCACATTTTCCCTCCAGCTCTGCAACGAATGATATTTTGTTGGTGGAATTCAAAAGTAAAAAATCAATAAAAATGTAATCACCCAAACAAAACTTTTAATTTGGTTCCATATCTCTACTTCCGGCGACAACTTTGCGGTGGCGCCGTGATCCAGCTTTTCTATCTCTTCCGCGCTTTCCGGGGCCTTTTCTAGTGGGTGAGCTTCCAACCTTTTCCAGTGATGTTTCAAGCACGGGCAATGGAGGAGGAGGAGGAGGATAAGGTGGAGGCGGTGAATCTGGTGGTGCCAAGCGCAGCAATAGATCCCTGTGGTATTTCTGTAACCAGCCAAAAATACAGTACGGTAAGGTTAACCAGAGAGAAAAGTAACAATGAAATTTCATGGCTTGTCTAGTAAAACAAATGTAATTATCAAATGAAATAGGTCATATCCTCCCCCAACCAATCTAAAGTTTAGATTTTAAAAAGATAAAACTAATACATTTTTTAATAGCTATTCTTTTAATTTCTTCTTGCCAACTGAATATCATATCCCACTTCTACTTGAGTATGAATAACCGAACACGTTGAATTTGCAGCAGATTTAAATTTTAAGTGAACAACAAAACATTGTTAAATTTAAAACTTTTGTGTATGACTTTTAAAACATTCATACAAAGATATATATTTAAACATAAATTTAACCAATGTTTTTTCATACACACAAAATTTCAGTCCGCTGCAAATTGAATCATGAATATGACAAAAAATACAAATCTTTTAAAATTCTAATTCAATACACCCTATGAGGAACAAAGAAAACAATGAAACAGAAAGATAGAACGGGTTTATTTCTAAAAATGTAAACGGGTAATCATCAATTAATATGGAAAATGTTACTATCATTGTTACATTTGCTTTATAAAGAGTGCGCATATGCATGTGCACATCTTTATTGCATTACTAAATGTTTTAACTGTTCAAAATCATGCACATGTACGTGCTCATCTTTATTGCATTACTAAATGTTTGTCTGTTCAAAATGAACTTGTACCTTCAGGAAATGAAAGCAACGGAAAGTTTTAGTCAGATGTTGAAATAAGATAAAATAGTTACCTGAACCACAAAGTTCCGTCTTTCACAATCCAAGAACATGTTAAAATGAAAATCTACCCTCGACAAAATTTTGTCCCTGACAGTTGAGAAACTAATCTGGTCCCTTGAAGTGAATCGGTCAACTTCATTGAACCAAAGACAAGTGAAGAGGTTGCTAATAGGAACATGCTCTCGTACTATCACACATCCTTCAGGAACATCTGCAACTCAGGTATGAAATTTGAAGTTTGAGAAGAAGTTTTAAATATATAAAATGGAACAGGTGCAGATAAATAAAAGAAGGCAATTTCATCTACCACTTATAAGAGGAAGTTTGGCCTCTGTATATGGGGTCAATCCCTCTCTCTTGTAAAACTCGATCTGAAAGTCGATAGAGGAGTTATCATACTTTCCAGCAATTTTATTTGCCTCAGCCTCAACAAATACATCAAAGCGTCTATAATGCTTTGATATTGCAAAAGTTACATTCTTCCTCCACAAAAATCTAAATGAGGGAGACGAGTAGTTTAGGCGTTAAAACATGTATTATGGCAAGACAAAGCAAAAAATATAGCTAGTAAAAAGTCACAGAACATAAGTATGAAATTTTACCCCAAATTAATTACATTTTGGTACATTCTCCAGATTAACATACAAATATAATATTCCAGTTAAACTCAAGCTTGAGTTTCATAGAAGAGATACAGTATGTGTGTAATTGTGCTTATTTTATTAGTGCTCAAAGAAGGGTATATCCACCCTTGAGTTTGTGAGTTATGATCACAATGCAATTCAAGTTGAAACGAGAGTGGATATACCCTTACTTGTATACTTTAAGAGACAAACTCACTTTCAAAGAGCTTTTCCATAACTGACAACTCAATTTATGCTAGCCCTAGACAAGCACTAATGTTGGAGAAATGTCTATTTGAAGAAATACCTACACCAGATGACAATAATTATCCTGATTTATACTAAGCAGAGGCAGAGATCAAGACTTCTGATCCATTCTTATCTACAGAATGTATTGATTTTTCTAGCTAGTAATCGTGGGCTTCTAGTCTCTATGATACCACACCTCTGTAGCCCCCAAAACAAACAACTTTAATCAGTCATAGATGGTATTTTGGGACCTGCAGGCAGGCATGCCATGCAGACTAGGAGAGAAGTTTGGGAAGGAAAATGACTCACATGTAGGAAGCTCTATTGAACTACAGTTTCTTTTATTTTGCTTTTCTTTTGGTTATTCTTAGAGGACTTCTTATTCTCCTTTTGTGTTCCCAACTTTCTCATTAAAAAGAATGTGCAAGGCAAAGAGCTTTTTGGCTAGACCTCATTTGTTTTCTAAGAAAACTTGTAACTACTCTCAGGACATCATCTATAGACAATCTAAAGGGACTTTGTGTCAAGATAGATTAAGATGTCACTTTGGGAAGAAAAGAAATTTTGTACTTGGACTTCAAGAATTTCGATGTTAAGAAATAATCAGAGAAAGATATTTATGGAGAAACAAGCACATGATATGGAAACATGTGAGTTGCACCTTATATCTTGGAGGACAAATCATATACTGGATTGTGAAGACAATATTAGTATATAGACTTATAGAGCAATGTGACACACAGCAAAACTACATGAATAACCAATCTAGTTAAAGCAAGAGATGCATACCGACAAATATCAAACTCTTATCACCTAAACCATACAACAAACTATAAAACTAATCACAGGACTGAAAAAGAATATTTACAACACTTAGAATGAATAACTATAGTGGAATATTATAAACAGTACCAAAGAGATTAGCCAGAATATACCTTTCAAGAATTTGATATGGATCCACAACAAGCTCAAGCTTCCCATCAAGCCATATAGAATAACGAGCATTTGGAACCAATCTATGCAACAAAAGCTTTGGAATCTGTGGAAAAGGTAATGGTACATAAAGTACTACTTAAGGAATGAGAAAACACATCAGCGCCTACGCAAAATTTTGAGTTTTTTCAATTCATACATAGGAATATAGGATCTAGTCAATATTAGGAGGTCTATTGATCTAAGCTTTCCCCTCCCCCTTCTGCGTATTGAGCACAAATCAGTATGGAAGTATTAACCCTCAAAAGGTAGAATACATAAAGATGAAACCACAGTCAAACAATATTACTTTTCCACAGCAATGAACAGATCATAAAGAACCAGATAGTTATTTAAAAAGAAATATTTCAGTGACAAAAATGGCTAATAAACTGTATGCTAATTTCTATTTCAGTCATGATAGTGCCAGTCAAATATGCAATACTGACCTTTCCTGTCCGTCTTGCATCTGAGTAAGGAAGATTATGAGCAACAATAATTCTCCATAAACCAATCTTCTTGCTGATTCCCAGCTTGCCAGAACTACTCAGATATTTTTCTGTTTCTTCATCTACAAACATGAGGAAGCATACAGTCTTCCTCGAATAGTCACTAACATTTTGTGGCTCATTTATCTCATCAAAGTTTCCTGAACAATAAATTTGACTGTCAATCAATTACAAGCTTATAAACAAGTAAATAAATGCAGAATCAAGTAATACAGACCAAATATGGCTGATGCAACAACCACTCCATTGCACTGCTCCATTTCAAAAAGATCAGCATCATCAATGTCAAATCCAGTGTTGCGGCCAGGTTTAATTCCTTTTACAAATCTGATTGGTATACACATTCATCAATGAAGATGGAGAATGGATTCATGTCAGTAAAAGGATATAAGAATGATTTACTACTAGCACAGGAAACCATAACCACAAAGAACATCCGTCGGTGGGTATAAAGATGTAACTTATAAGGGAAACATTCAACAAAAACCAAAACATACCCACAGTGCACATTCATTGACTCTTTTATATCAAAAGAATCATTTCTCTGCTTCAATGTAGGATATCCACCAAAGTCCGAACCACCGAATTCTCCATCTCTACTTAAATTTTCTTCATAGACATATGTTAAATTCCTAAGGATCGGTGAAGGTGAGGGCAACATTGGCATCAGTCCAATGGCTTCTTCGACAGGAAGGTAACACACCGGGCATGCTAAAACATAAACAAACCCGAATATTCAGGAGAAACACCATGCACATTAAGCAGTCTAAAATATATCCCCGTATCCTCCATGCAGTCATGAATCACAACTTCAAATAAGTAATTGATATATGCAGGTATGATGGCAACTATCGCAAATTATAAGTGACAAATTGTGTATCACAAGAAAGACATCTTAGGCAGCAAAATAATAAGCTAAAACTTACGACGTGGCCCTGTACGCTTTTTATCAGCAGGTGGGGGAGGGAGTGTGAAGCTATTACACGGATGCCCTGGAGCAAGATGGTAGCCCAAAAAATAGCCAGGTGGCGGAGGGGGTAATGCAAGATTTGTAGTTAAGCCCATTGCATTTGTCGTAGAGATCTCAGATGTAGAATCACTTGTAGACACGCTTTCGTTAACATTAATGGTTGATGCAGTGTTTCCTTCCTGAGAATCTTCACCTGAAAGCAAGCAACACCACAAGCATCATGCTATGTTCAAATTAAGACAAAACCCAAAGGACAGATGTAAATAACAACTCACACCAGATTCCAGTAAACTCAGTTAAGCCAAACAAAAGAACTAGAGAACAATGGCATATCACCGGTTGAAAAACACAACCCAAAATAATGAAACAATTCTGAAAGCTCGAATTGTTCAGGGCATTCTCAGACACTAAATGTGGGAGAATGTGGACACATCCCCAAGCGAGAATTCAAGCCTTATTTGGCAGATACAACCAACATTGGTGCTGGAATTGTAACATAATACTTAATGCAATCACATAATGAGAATTCAGCACAGTGAGCATAAATAAATGAAGGGAAGGAATAAAAGGAGAATGAGAGAAATACAGCAACCTTTTCCAACATACAAAACCCAGATGAAAACTGCAGCAGAGATGAGACAGAGGAAGAGCATTCCGACCTTCTTGCGGCCAACAAACTTGCAGATCCAAAGGAACGACCTCTCTTTCTCCTTCTCCTTGAGCATCTTTGAAGCCTTGCGTGCAGTGCCGTTCTGTACCTGTTTATCCAAAGACCCATAACTTCCAGAACGAATTCCAATACCCAATGGAGCAGACATTTATGCCCCTCTCATTCCTCACCCTTCTCTTTCTCTCCACCCAGATCAAGCATTCATCGACACACCTCACCAATTCCCAATGCACTCTCACCAATCCCACTCTCACTCCCAACTCAACAATGGAAAAAATCAAATAAATAATAATATCAATATTAACAGCAAAACAAATTGATTTCTCTTTCTGGGTATTCAAGATCCCGAAATTACAGTAAGAGCAAAGCCAAATGAAACTTGCGCTTCCTGAAAAATCAACTGAAATACGGTTATATTACACTGAAAACAGAAACTGGGTCCCGAGAAAAACTCTCCCTTTCCTCCAAAAATGGGGATGAATCTAGGGTTTCTGATTGGCCCTGTAGGGTTTTCTGAAATCCGAGAGTTGGAAGAAATGCAGGATCGCAATATTTCAAGTTGTAAAAAAAATTAATTTTGCGTTGATCTGGAAGTGAGGATGATGATCTGAGTCAGAGAAAAATTTTCATTGAATATTATTTATACGAGGGGAAATTACCTTATTGGTGAATAAAATTTAAGAAAAAGAAAGAAAGCATGGAGCATGGTAATTTGTGAATTGTGTGAATGCCAGTGTGCACATTGTATTTGTCTCTTCAGACACTCGTGCCTCACTAATTATGACGTGGAAAATTTGCATAGCTTCTCTCTATATCTAATTACTACCTAAGATTAATTAATATCGTTAATGCTGCTCTATTATTGTATTAATTAAACCAAAAAGTATCTGAAATCTCGGGATAATAACTTTAATTTAATTTTTTTGTCGGTCTTCTATTGGCCAAATCCTCCACAGCCATCATGTTTTGCCTCTCCCTAGTCCCTATTGACGTGGTGATTGATCAACTGATTGATGCTATTGCTACGATACTTCAAATTGTGTCAAGTTAAGACAGTGAATTTTATGGTGGTTGGAGACAAATTTCTTGTAAGAACAAATTTGCTCAAAATTTGGCATAGAACCAGAATGCTGTAGTAACATGGGGATTAGCTCCACTTATTTATACGAAATTGTAGATAACCGAGGCCCATCTCAGTTACATCGTTGTATAATTGCTATCTATTATTATTGTTAATTTTCTTTTATAGAACGACCACCTAGTTAGAATTTTGTGTAAATTATTCTAATACATAACAAGGTTAAGGGATATTTTTTTAATTATGATATTCATGTAAAATATTTATTAATTTTGTCAAAAATTATTTTTTACTAAAATTTTGATTGATCATATATTTAATAAAAAGAATTAATTTTTTTTTATTTATGAGACTTGAATTTAAGACCTTATTTAATAAAATCGAACCTTTTCTTAATTGAATTTAAACATACATTAAGTTATAATATGAAAATAACACATGATAAATGTTTAAATTATTTGACAATTTTTTACCTCATATTATTTGGTAAACAATAGATAACACAAACAAATAAAGTTAATTTTACTACATTACAATTTTTTTTTTAATATTCATTGTAGTTTTTGTTATAGGTTAAAAGAAAGTTATGGTCCTTTATATAAAACATTTTACAATTTATATAAACTATTAATTTTATTTTTCATCTCTTGATAAATTACCAATTACGAACACGATGGTCACGTATTGTCGTTTTGATGCCTTCCCAAGGATGTCCACTCTCTTTCTCTACTAGCCAGTGAACAACAATGGAACAAAAAATTCTAAGGGAACGACAATGCTTATAGAACCACATTTTCGTAGAGCAATCCATGACAAAATTGAATATAGATTATAGAAGGAATTGGTAGAGACAGTGATTTCCATGGTGTTGGATCGTGAATTGTTGATGAGATAAGTGATTTTCCCAATCTTGATGATTGATCCATTAATTCATGGCTTGATTAAAAATAACAGAGTCACTGATATCGTATCAAGATTAGAGTCTTATTTGAATCTGTCATTGATATCGTATCAAGATTAAAGTCTTATTTGAAATTACCAAAAAAATTATGTAATTATTATTCTAATCCATGATTTTATATCAGAATAATAAAGAAACTCAATTTTTGTGACAAAGAATCAAAACTTCTTCCTCTAAATCATAATCACGTTTTTCGTCATATTTTAAATTAAGAGAAATATTAGCAACACATTCTTTTTAATTGGTTAAATTTTATTGAATAACACAAAATTTAGTGGGTCTCATACCCTTTTTAATAACACACCCTCTCTCTCCTAATTTTGTAGTTTTCAATAAATTATAACTAATAAAAATGTGTGTTAAGAGAAGTGTGTTAAATTGTATTTTGTTAGCACTCTTCTCTAAATTAAATCACAAAGATCTTTATCAAACTCATTTATGAAAGACATTATCCCTCTAATACCATATTAGAAATCTATGATGAAGACATTTGAGAGAAAATACAAAAAATACCAACTTATTGTGACCATATATCATAAAGCTCAAAATAAAACAAACAAATATCATAAAAAATCACTCTAATTGATTGAAAAATATGTTGAATATGCACATGGTATTCTTATTTACAATAAGTAATGAGCATTATCAACGAGTAACTAACTATATCAACTATCAAAATTTGTTGAAATACAAACTAACTTTAATAGAATTTTAGTCTCCAAATAAAGATGGTGTCAAAGGTCATTATTTTTTTAGAGTCATTTTCATATTCCAACTTTGTAGGTTATGCTTTGAGCAAGTACATGACAGGTTTATAATAGTTGAGCTTGAACATTAAGAACAATGAGGTGGAGTAAAAATTGTGGCGAACCTAAAATTTTCTTTCATGGCTGATTAGGGAGTTTTATGGTGGCAACCTTTGATAATGTTGCAACTCATAAACTTGGGGGTGGATGGAAATACTTATAAACGAATATCCCATTAATTGAAATAGAATTAAATTTAAAGTTCAAATCTTATAAATAAAAGAACATAGATAAGCATGACAACGGGGCGGGGCGGGGCGGAGGCAGGTTTTACGTTTCCTACCCCCCTTGCACCTGCCTCAGATACCCGCTGAGGTAAAATTTGGGTACCCATCCCTGCCTCTGGCAGGGTTCAGGTTTCCCTGCCCCACCCCCGCTCCTATTTTTTTTTCTTTTAAATAAATATGAACAAATTTTAAAAAAAAATAAAAGAAAAGTAAAATAATATAAATTTTTACATATAAATATTTTTAATTTTAGTTTATATATATATATATATATATATAATTTTTTAATTATATTATTAAGCGGGGTGGAGGTGGGGACAGGGACGGAGAGGGTATTAACATCCCTATCTCCGCCTCCCGTCCCCGATTTTATCAATTGGAAAAAACCCGAACTCGATAAACACGATTTTTCTCTATCTAAATGGGCGGGTTCGAGTGGGTATTCACAGGATGAGTTAGATTGTTATGCCTAAACATAAATATGAAAAAGTTTTTTTTACTGAAACTGATCTCTCACATTCTATCACAAAGAACAAAAGAAAATATGCTTATGTTAATTAGTATATCTAAGAAACACTAAAAAGTAAATACATTGTTCTAGAATTTAGAATTAGAATCAAATTATTATATGACTAATCTATGAGATTGTGAGCATGGAAGCAAACAGAATTCTAAGATGGAACGGTAGCATTGAGCAATTTGTTGTTATTATCCCTCAAAAGGAGAAGTGGTTTCTATTTTAATATCCATGTATTTCTTTTTCGGGGAATCTTTCAAACCAAAGTTATTAGCATGTAAAATGATTTCAGCCGTGGTTTTGAAATACGATTTTGAAGATCTTGGAACCAAAAGAGTGGCAGTGACAGTTGGTCCAAGTAAAGTGCATAATCTTTTCTTTCCTTTTGTGTGAAAGGTGGCATTATCTTTATTTACCTTTGGAACATCAAACATGGACATTATCATTGTTTCTTTGCCAAATTGGTGAAACTCATTGTCCATAATATTGCTTCCTCAATTAAGCAGACTTCTTTCCCCTTCTCTTCAAAACAGCACTCAATTAATGGGCAAAATGCCATGTAAGAAAATGTTCGATTCTTCCTGTAATTAAAATATCTTTTATATTAATTGTTTTTTTACAAAAAGTACCCTTAATTTAGTGCATGTTTGGTTTTTAACTCTAATGTGAATTTTCACGTTTGCTTGAAGTAAAAAAATTTTGCTTCCACGTAAAATTGATATCTAACGTGGAGAGAGAATGTAGAATCATGTTTTAAAAGCTAATGCAAACATGCACTTAATAAGTATGGGTGGAGTAACTAAATATTTTTTTGATGTTAGGGATAACTTTAAAAAAAAATATGAGTCAATTATCTAACTGGTTCAATAAGATTAAATAAGTTTGGTTAATTTAATTAGTAATATTAAATTTAAATTTATCCTAAAATTACATTCTTTTTTCAAAAACTATTACTCACATTAATGAGATTTTTAATTTATCATCTACCAACATTATTTCCAAAAAGGATAGGGAGTATAAAGTTAAGATAAATATAATGTTATTACTTAAATTAATTAATGTTTTTAAACTTTTATGAATTAAGTAATTATGAATTATAAAAAAGGGTCCGAGGGAATATATGTTTTAATAAAATATATAAATTAATTAACTAAACCAAAAATAACTACATTGTCGTTCTTTAACTGGAAGTAAATGTAATTCTGGTTTTTAAGGTTTTATTTTCAAATCAGTTCAGTTTTCTAAAATTTAGTTCCATTTACTGATTTTTTTTATTTAAAATCATTAATCTCTCTTTCTTTATTCAAAATATTTATAAATTTAATTAAATCTTTTATATTTTTCATAACTCACATATCAAAACATAAAAAAATTTGCTCAAAATAAAAAAATATCATATTCTCTTCGTATCCTGTCGTAATCACCATCATGTTTTGATATTATAGAAAAATAATTTTTTAACAGCATTTAACCATGTATCAGAAGATTTTTTTATATTATTCTGACTAAGTGAATATTGTCTTCGGATCAATCTTACCATGACAAGGTGATTTGAATAAAAACCAATTGTTAGTTTGAATAAAAAAAATTCACATATATAGTGTTAGAAGGTTTTGAGTTTTACTTAAAAAATTATTTGTATCTAATTCTCGGAATCAAATTGCACAAAAAAAAACATCTAGTCTTATATTTTAAAATTTTAATTTTTATATATCTTAAATTCATGTTAAGAATTTTTTAGTGATTTTATGATAAAGTAATTTTAAGAGTTTTAAATAGAAAAAAAAAATGATGACATGGCCATTTTTTAATTTTAAAAATAATAACCACAATCATTTCAAAAATATGTAAGACTAAAATTGCACAGAACCTATATTAATGAGATTAAAAACATAATTAATATATATAAAAGTTTTGTCAAATAGGATGACTTTTTTTTTTTTTAATGTGAAAGCGAGAACAACAAATTTGACAATTAAATTCTATTATTACTATTAAAAATATATAGGTAATGAGATTTTTTTAATAAGTCATACTACTTTTTAACGTAATTATATTATTTTAGTTATCTTTTTAATTTTGATTTTTTTTATAACTATATTATTAGTAAAGAGTATTTATCGACTTTGTGATAATTAATCTCTA